GTTCAGAGAAAATTAAAGAGATTTGAAACAGAAACCAAGCACCCTTGAGAAGTAGATAGAAACATCTGAACTGAGAGATCTCAACAGAAAAGGAAATTGACTAGTGAGGTAAAACAAAGGTAGACCCAAGAAATCAAGATGTTCATGTTATAAACACACAGAAACAACTAGAAATGAAAACTACCCCTAACCCTGATGTAAAAGAACTGTTTAAAGATGTTCAAAAGAAAACTGCTATATTGAAACAGCCTCTGGAGAATGGTAAAGCAAACTTGTTTCTCAATGTTGAGAACTCCTGGAAAGCATGTGATTTGATTAAAATAGGCCCTGTATAAAGAAACCAAATAACTTTGCCAAGGACTGAGGAGAACATCACTTTAGACAAAAAGAAAGGGATGAACCCAGAGGCTGTACCAGTTCTGCCTAAAATTTCATTTATAGCAAACTCTAGGGAAAAGATAAAAGCCATAAAATTTAGAAATACTGATAGCCTATACTGACTATAACATGTAAATAATAATAATAACTAGCTATATGAGCAAGTTTATATTCGGATGTAGAAAGATCATTGGGTCATAAAAAATTAGCCAACAAATCTATAACTAGGCTAAATTGTAATATTACAGGAAAAGTGATCACACATTCAGCCAGATGATGGCTCGTTGTTGAACTACATATAATGTTGCTTTGTTCTTTTTAAACAGCCGGAAGTAACTCACAGAGTGGAAGAGACTAAAGATTAGTGATAAGGATAACTGCAAGAGTGATCTATTGGAGAAGATGGGAGGAGATTAGATTAAGGTGTGTGTAGAAAGGTTACCTTGATGAAAAGAGTAACCTATTCATCAGAGGCTGGAGTAAAGGAAAAAAGAACAGAAAAGGTGGTGCTGATATCAACAAATTTTGAGATGTAGAGAAAGAAAGGAGAGAGAGAACCTGGTGAATGGTCTCCATTTTCTCATTAAAGAATGAGATGAACAGGTGTAGTGGATAGTGTCACACTAGAAATCAGGAAAGCCTGGCTTCAAATCCTACTTCTGCAACTTACTAGTTGGGTGACCATGGACAACTTACTTAACCTCTCTGAGTTTCAGTTTCCTTATCTATAGAATGGAGATTAAAATACTTCTAGTACTTACCTTTCATACTTACTGTGTGTAAAATGCTTTCTGCTTGTTAAGGCATTATGTAATTATTAACTTTTATTATGCATAACCTTATAAATGTTTGAAACCTATCTTTTACAAATCTTGGGTTACCTCCACAAAGTGGCTGCAACAGGCGTATGCCCACAATCAGAGCAAAAGACCTGACATGAAGTCTGCTCTGTCTCTTAGTGGACTTCGCATTCATTCACTTAACAAGCATTTACCAAATTGTGAGAGAATTTGAATAAGACCTGCTGACTATGGTCAAGACTGAAACATGAAGCTACTGGGCCAGCTCATCTAAAGTTTTTTGGTTGTTATTAAAGGTTTATTTATTAAAATAATCTACATTGTAGTTCTTAACTAGCTGGGCATTTTATAACACAACTATTGATATTATCGATGAAATCATGAGGATGGCTGTCATTGATATTGTAATCCATAAACTGGGAAGTCCCAAAAGTCTCCTTAATGGTTCCTGGGCCTCTTGCCATAGATTGGTGCCTCATTTCTTGAGCGATGTATGAACCACATTGAGGTTAGGTTTAATTTTTTCTGCTTTTTTCTGTCCCTGGGATTTTTTTTGGGGGGGTGGGGATTGTATGATCAGGCTAAGTCAGAAGGCGCAGCATTAATTGGGACCTGTCTATTCTTTATAATAAATTCAACCTGGTGGTTTCAAAGTTGTCAGCTTGTCTGTGTCTCCCTCCAAACAACCTTTGTTCTCATATATACATTTTTAAAACCATATGGCATGTTTTAACCCAAAGCTTAAGCCCACAGGGTTTCCTCTTACATTAGATCATGTAAAGTGGAAGTGTCATATTGTAGGCTACGCATGATTCAGACTGGAAAAAAAATGAGATACTCATAGACCACGTATTCATTGACAAAAGGAGCCTTATTAAGCAATAGCAAGCAAACGATATTTAGCAAGGATAAGGCCTTGATTCAGATGAGCCTTCCTCTGTGTTGGCCATGCTGGTATACCAGTCAAGTCTGGGGAGGAACTGCTTGCCTTCTCACAAACTAGCTTTTGTATTTGGCCCACTACAAAGCTACATCAATTGTTTGATCCTTAGCTCATTGGGCCAATTAAGTATGAAGATTGGTTTTAATATCTTTTCAGAAACAACCAGCCTAACCTTCATCAGGTAAGGCCTTCAGAGAAATTAGCCCAACCTAAGTGGCAGGGTCTTTTGAAAATATGGTTCCTACAACATTTGGCCTCCAGCTAACCATTTCCCCCACCCAAATCTAGTCAGTTTCCTCTCACCAGTCATTATGCCTCTCAGGATTTGAGGCAGCTTCCTGACTACCTCCTCACTTCTAGCCTTCTTGTTATAATTTTGCATGAGTCAATTTTTTAGTGCCAAGAGAACTGTATTTTAAGTCAGAAGACTTGGGTTCAAATCCTGATTTTGTTACTTATTACCTCTGTGACTTAAACCACTCACTTAACCATTCTTAGTCTCAGTTTCCTCACCTGAAAGGATTAGACTAGATGACCTCTAAGGTCCCTTCAAGCTCTAAATCCATGATCCTATGAGTTTCCCTGGTTGAGAAACCTCATCTTGGAGACAGATAATTTCCTTTTCTTTAAATGACCCCTGAAAGTACATGCTGATGAGCCAGAAATTTGTGTTGAGCTACCATATACTGTAGGGCACTTTTCTCCCCAGAACCCATTCTCTCCAGAAAGCCAAAATGTATCACACAGCTAGGAACAGGAGAACAGCCCTTTTTCCTTTAGAATCTGAGTCTTTGGACTTAATATCACAAATGTAGCCTATCTAAACCATTAAATAATCCCCACAGTATTTCAGTTCCTTCCAAGTTGCCATCCCCTATCCATTCCCAGTTTTTAATAAAATTATCCACCTTGTAGTCTGAACCAAAAGCATTGATCAGGATACATTCTTGGAAAACTTAGGGCCTGTGCATTTACTCTGGTCTGGCCTGGTCCAATCCTGGCCATAACAAGATGTTAATACCAGAACTCAGGTTTCCTCTAACACAGCCTCCCTCTATTACTTCCTGGACAGGAATGAGGTCACAGAGTAAGACAAAGACATTTAATTGTGCTTCTCACAAAGCTTTATGGATCCAAATTGGCTGAAGGAAGATGGACATACAGCACTAGGCAATCTACCTCCCTGAAATCTGGCAAGATCATTTATAAACTCTCTCTCCTTCCCATCATGACACAGTCCTTCCAAATTCTCTCCTCAAAATTCTCCTCTTACTCCCTCATAACCTCATAAGTAGAACAAAAGCTACTCTTAACTTTTGTTCCTTTTCCCAGGCATGCAAACTATCCCATAATTTCTTCAAGGGAAGGTTGCCTGGGAGATAGCTGTGTGTCTATATACTGCGTTGGCCAAGACCCTGGTACCCATTTCTGGGATTTGATTGAAGCAGTTTATCTTGATTGACATTCTGGCTCCAACCCGTCTTTCTAGGCCTTTGACATCCCAATGAAAGTGGCCCCCCTGCTATGCCCTTGCATACAATATTCCATGTTCCACCTCTGGATCTTTGCATAGATTTGAACACCTCTTTAAGGAAGCCTTTCACAATGCCCCTGTATTTCCAGTTGTTAACACTCTCCACACCACCACCTGGAAAGTGCTTGGTATTTGTTTGTACATGCTTTATATCCATTTATTTCTGTAGATAGACCTAAGGGACTTAAGGACAGGAACCATGTCATTTTTGCCTTCATACATCCAGAACTTAGCACATTAGCACATGGGTATGTGCTTCTACTTATCAAATCTAAACAAATTTAATTAGATTGAATTGGATTGGACCAGATTGAATTCTTTGTCATTACTTGGTGACATTGGCTATAAGAGATGAAGGAAAGGGAGGAGTCAAGGTGGGCTCATTAGCAGAGAAAAGAAGGTTGTTACAGTGACTGCAAACTCAACAGCAGCCAGCAATGTGATGAGACAACCAAAAAAGCTAACTCTTAAGACTGTATTAATAGAAACCCAGGGTGTAGAATGAGAGAAATTCCATTTCCTCTGTTTCTACCCTGTCTGATCACTTCTGAAACATGGTGTTCAATGCTGACCTTCTTTTTAAGAAGGACATTAACTCGACAAGCATAACCAAGTTGTTAAGGGTTCTCAAGAGCATGGCATACAAAGATCAGCTGAAGTAACTAGGAAATCTTTAGCCCAGAGAAGACTTATGGGGACATGGGATAGAGTTGTCATGTGGGGAGAGATTAGGCTTTTTCTGCTTGTCCCTGGAGAGCAGGACAAGGAACAAGGGCTGAAAGTTGCCAAGAGGTAGCTTTTGGCTCAATATTGGGAAGAATTTCCTCATAATTGGAGCTGTCCAAAATGTAATGTTTCCCATCACTGGGCGTCTTCAAGTGGTATCTCAGTGATGACTTGTCAGGAATGTGGCAGAAGAATTCCTCTTCAGGTATGGATTGGTTGGATCAGGAGATCTTGGGGGTACGTTTCAGCATGTGAATGCTCTAATGCTCTCAGGGAATATTTTGTCCCTTCTGTCTTCCCATTGTCTTTTATACATATCTTTGTCCATCCCCAACACCATCTCCTAACATGCACCTCCCCACTCCCAAGTCCCTCACTACACACCTCCCATAAGCTATACCATCATCCTGATCCAGTGAACTCAGTCCTAAACCTCAGGTCTTGGTCTGACTGGCAGCATAGAGAGAAGCTTTTCATAGAAGAAGTTAATTCAGTACCAAAGTCATTCTTGCTACTGGTCTCTGGATTATGTGTCTCTGCTCATGACATTGGATTAAGTTTATCAGAAGAACACAGCCCCAAGAAGAGGGGTGGGGTTTCAGGGGTGGGGATACAAGCTCCAGAGGAGAACAGAAACCATAACTGTGGCTGTAGAACCAACTTCTAGGCCCAGTGGTACCCCCAGAGACACCTTCTGCCACCAGTCCCAGGTTAGGAGTGGATTTCCTGAAGTGTGAGGACGCAGTGCATAGCTCTGCACAGGACAAGTTATAAAGATACGCAGTTACTCAGCACAGCTCATTGGAACCTATGAGGTAAGTCTAGCTTCTCTTCTTAGCTCTCTTGGCACTCCTTATTTTGCCCTGAGTCCAGCCAGGCTCTCTCCTTCTTGGGAGAAATCAATGCCCCCTTAGTCCCAGGTACCTAAGCCTCCCTGGTCCCCACATAAAAAACAAGTGATGAATCTCTGTGCTGTATTCATCCTTAGTTGAGAGATTCCTTTGGGCTAAAGCAGGCAGAACACACTTCATGAGGTCCCAGGCTTGGAGAAAGGGAAAGAGCTGAAAGGATGGAAAGGGTGAGTCCAGGGCATTTGACGCTGAGGAAAGAGTAGGAGCAAGAGCACAGAGGTGGGTCAAAATGAACCTGGAAGAAGAGGATGGGAGGACTGGCCTGGGTGGAATGGAAGGTAGATGAATCAGAGGCTTTACTTTCTAAGTCCTTCTCCCATTATCATGGGACTGCTGGCTAGAACTTCTTAGGACTCTGATGCACTGACACGCTCCCACCCAGACATAAATACTCTGTCTTTAATGTATTTTCTCCCCCAGGTATGATGGAGACTGCCAATCTTTCAGACTCCTTTCTCTCCAGCTTGCTCATCTTCCTCTTCCTTGAGACTTACACGTTGGCATCAGGTAGGAGTATTTACTTCTGTCTGGCTCTCTGGATTTATCAGGTTAGTTCTGAAGGATAAACCTAGAGAGATTTTGCCCTCCCATCTCACTCCTATTACTTTCCAAGTCATTCCCTCATTAATCACCAACCCTTCCAGTTTCTCTTCTCTCCTTCCTGAAGTCTTCTCAATATCCTCGTCATCCTGTCCCTTCTTCCTTGATTCCCTCCATGGGCTCTGTCCCTTCATCCATCCAGATGCTTTCCTCTCTCCCATTATAGGTTCCCCACTCTTCCTCCAACTTGGTGCATTTTTCCTCTCTGAACACCTCTCTCTTCTTCCTTTCTTCTTCAACAGAGCAGTTCTCAGTGATTGGACCTAAAGAACCCATCCAGGCCCAGGTAGGGGGAGAAGCAGCCCTACCATGTCACCTTTCTCCCCAGGAGAGTGCTCAGCACATGAAAGTAATTTGGTCTCGATCACTACAAATTGTGCACCACTATGAAGATGGGGAGGATAAGTTTAAAGATCAAAGTCCTGATTACCAAGGGAGGACAGAGCTGGTGAGAAATGGCATCACTAGTGGAAATATTACCCTGAGGATATGGAACATTAGAGCCCCAGATGAAGGATGGTATAAATGTCATTTTTACAATGGTTCTCATCGAGAAGAAGCTGATGTGGAGTTATGTGTCTCAGGTGAGGAGCTAGGAGTGTAGTTCTGGAAATTTGGAGCACCTATATGAAGGATTGGGAGAATGTTTTTCCAATCTGAGTCATGACAACTTGGGGCTGGTGGCCAGAGGAGGTAGTAGAGTCCCTACTTGGGGGGTTTGAAACACAGAAACCATGGTAGGAAATTGAAAACAGCCTTGCAAGACTGGTTGCCAGAGATAAAGAAAAAGGAGAAAGGAAATGAGCAGGGGAAAATGAAAGAGGAGAGAGGGGACATCGGTGGCCAAAGAAAGAAAGCAGGGAAAGAGGATGTAGAGGAAGAATCCTTATCTTTCCATCTTCTCATAATACTGGTATGTGATACTTGGTCACAAGCTTTACTAATAACTTAGGTAAACTATATCCACCTCATTTCCCTGCTAGTTTAGTAATCCTATCAACAAAGGAAATGAGGTTGGGTTGGCATTATTTGTTCTCAATGAAGTCATGTTCTCACTGAAGCTCTTTATAATCATTTCTTCCTTTTCTAAATGTTCACCAATCAACCCTTTCATTTTTTAAAAATTTTCCCAACAAAATCAAGTTCATTAACCTATAATTTTCGGACTCTTCTGTGTTTTGAAAATCAGATACTTGTCCATCTCTAATCTTGTGGTGCACTCTCTTCCTTTTCCTGTGATCTTTCAAATGTCACTGGATATTAATTTTTGTGAGTTGTATCTGCCAGTTCTTTCAGGACATGAGGATATAGTTCTTCTGGGCCAAGTGATTTGAATGCACAAGGTGCTCTCTTACTATCACCTTACTTCACTCCTGTCTCTCTTTCCTTTAATAGACAGCTGTAAGGGAAACATAACCCATGACCCTTTTGCCTTAGTTTGTTGTCCAAGATGATAATTTTTGGCAATACTTTTTAGGTTCCTTATGGTTGGGTTATTTGTGCTCAATTCACAAGTCAAAAGAAATGACCAGTTGCCATCCATTTTGATAAGTTGAAGGAAGTTCTCTGTTCTGTCTTGGATGTGTGTGTGTGTGTGTGTGTGTGTGTGTGTGTGTGTGTTCTTCTCTTTGAGAAGAACCTCAGGGGCAGCGAGGTGGCGCAGTGGATAGAGCACCAGCCCTGGATTCAGGAGGACCTGAGTTCAAATCTGGCCTCAGACACATAACACTTACTAGCTGTGTGAGCCTGGGAAAGTCACTTAACCCCATTGCCTAGCCAAAAAAGAAAAGAAATGAAATGAAATGAAATGAAATGAAATGAAATGAAATGAAATGAAATGAAATGAAATGAAAAAAAATAAAATGAAATGAAAAGAAAGGAACCTCAAATCTGTATTTGAGCAGTCATTGTATAATTGTCCTCTTCCTTCCCTTTCTCTTCTGTGTTACCCTCTTCCATTCCCCATTGTCCTGATGAAAGGTCTGGAATTCTCTCACCTAGGGAACTCTGTACCTCCCTCCCGGACAGTGAGCCAAGTTTGATACCAATGGAAGAGGCCAAAGAGCTCTAGATTGATTATAAGCAATGGTTTAATCAATTGGGTTGCTTACATTGGGGTCCAGTATGATGGATCCCTGCCAAGAGTTCAGATAATCTGCAGTCTAGGGCAGTGGCCAGACCAATGGTGGATACTTGCAAAGATCCCAGGAAAGCCCAGTGGTAATTACAGAAAACAGACAAAGGGACAAGGAGCGATAGAGTACATTGCTACTGATTGGTGGATATTTTGGTGTTTCTGCTTGGTAATGATCTCATTTCAGAGCATGGGTGTTGTGCCAATGTTATTGAGTGAATACCCAACACAGAGTTTGTGTATTCATCACAAATTGGTCACTGTAGCCCTATTATGGCTGTTACTGGACACATGTGAGTTATGCTTCAGCACCTAAATTATGATTTTAACACATCACCAGGTCTGGGCTTCCACCTTTCCAGAGTTTAAGTTATTGGCTTTTCACTTCTTACTATTCATTATGGTTTTTCCCTAATCAGGACCCCACAATCTCCCCTCCATACCAGATCCATTTTTCTTTTACAACAGATTTCCATATGGTGTATCCATTAATCCCTTCAATATAGAGGCAGTTGGTGGTACAATAGATATAGCACTAGGCTTGGAGTCAGAAAGACTTGAATTCAAATCTGGCCTCAGACACTTAATGGCTGTGCTAAGCTATGAAAGTCACTTAACCTCTGCTTTCATAAGGTTCTTCAACTGTAAAGTGGGAGTGTTGTTCAGTCATTTTCAATGATGTCTGATTCTTCATGATCCCAACTTGGCTTTTCTTGGCAAGGATACTGGAGTGGTTTGCCATTTCCTTCTCCAACTCATTTTATAGATGAGGAAACTGAGGCACATAGGGTTGAGTGACTTGCTGAGGTTCATACAGCTAACAAGTGTCTGAGGCTGGATTTGAATTCAAATTATCCTGACTCCAGGCCCAGTGCTCTATCCACTGCACCACCTACCTGCCCATGTAAGTAATATAACCCATCAAAAAACTTGGTAGATAAGTCTTAGAGAATCTCCTGAGGCTTGGAGTGGTTAAATGACTTTTCTACGGTCACATGGCTTAGTGTCAGAGACAGAATTTGAACACTGGTCTTCCTGGCTTCAAGTCTGGCATTCTAGCATTAAGGGATGCTACTTATTTTCATGGGAGTCTTTCTTCATACTATACAACACTACTACATCACCCCCTTTGGTCTAATCTGTTCTTTTTTTATCTATCTTTTCAATCACTGTATTCCAATCATGGGTTACATCCTGTTGGATGTTAGAAATACCTATGCAGGTATATTTATCTCCTTGCATTAAATTCTCTAGTTATTGTACTAGACTAATTGGTGTCAAGATATCTGAAGCTAACCCACATTTAAAAAAAGAACTATGGACTTTGATTGCAGATCGAAAAATACTATTTGCTCTTTTTTTCTTCTTTTTTTTTTTGTTTCCTCTTCCTTGTGGTTCCTTCTACTGGTTCTAATTCTTCCTTACAGCATGACTAATGTGAAAATAAGTTTAATAGGAATATAGATAGATAGATAGATAGATAGATAGATAGATAGATAGATAGATAGATAGCCTACATCAGATTGTGTACTGTCTTAGGGAGAGAGGAGGGGATGTAGGGGGAGATAGGGGGAGAAAAATTTTAAACTCAAAAGCTTATGGAAGTGATTGTTGATAATTCAAAATAAACTAATTTTAATTAATTTAATTAATTAAGTTTAAAAAAATATATCTGAAGCTATGAACTTTATTGTTGTTCTTGTTCTTGAATAACGTAGCCTATGCATCAGAAGGAATCTCCACTACTATTTCTCATGGAACACCATGCTTGCCATTCTCCTCTGGTATCCACTGTAACAGTTCTATGGAGACAGTACAGGCTCTCTCTCTATCCATTTTCAGTTTAACACTCTCTTCATAGATACATAGATATGTAGACAGATATAGATAGATAGATAGATAGATAGATAGATAGATAGATAGATAGATAGACAGATAGATGGATGGATGCAGTAAAATATATTCTTCTTAGTTCTTGATAGATGTACTCCATTACTCACCACAGGTCTATAATTTCTACATCATTACTTGTTGTTCAGAAAGCCAGGTCCCATTCACAGTTTTCTCAGACACAACTTGGGAAGCTCAAAGCTGATTTTCTCTTCTGAACCTCACCACTTTAATTTAATGAGGAATGAAAATACCACCAGTGTCCCTAAAATTTCTCATCTAGAACTCTATCATTCATGGAAATCTAAGTGCCTTTTGGTGGTATAATTTGGATCCACGTGAATCACCAGTGGTGAGCAGTAGTTATGGGTTTGCCAATTCTCAGGTCCTCCATCATATCATGGACACACTCCAAGAAGACAGTAGACTTCTCTATCAATCATTTAGATTGGGACCCCTCAGCAAGTAACCTCCAACCAATACTACCTGTCTGTGCTTTCTCTGATGAGGTCTAGATGACTGTCACCAGGGGAGCATCCTTGGACCCTCAACAACATTCCATGGATCACAAGAAATTGCTTCCTCCTCAAAGGGATTAGCCCCACATTCCATAGAAAGAATTTTATATGCATTACCTTGGTCTGAGTGCTTAATAATCCGCTTCCTTATGATACATTCTTTACATTCCAACCTCTTTCCATAGTTTGTGATTCCCTTCGCCTTCTTAGGAATGTTTTTCCTACTTTTTCTCCCATTAAAGCATTTCCATTCTTTCAAGGGACTCTTCATGCTGCCTGAAAAGCTAGAGAGTAGAGGGGCTACCTTCAGCCCTTTGTCCTACTCTAGAAGGAAGAAAAGCCCTTACTTCTATTCATGCAGTGAGTGATTAGTTGGCTCTTTGAGAGAGGCAGTCTTTTCCTTACAAATTACAGCAACTTTCCCAAAAGAATGCAGAAACTAAAACCCTCAGTTCTTTGTTGCTCTTACTACTGTCTCTCCTGAGTTTTCTCAAATATTCTCCATACCCAGGGCTGCTAAGCAGACTTATTTCTTTACCCCATTTAGCTGCTATTTACCAAGGTGAGTTCAATTTGTAATTAGCATATTGCTGCCAAAGCCCTACTGAAAACAGAAACTGTCCTCAGCTGTTCTCTGTGAGAAGGTCTTATGCAGAAATCCAACTTCTGATCACCTCTTGCCTCTTCCTTCCTCCTTTCTCCTATCCTCATCTCTTGGTTCTTTGCTCTGCCATTGCAGTCTGGCCAAAAGCCTAAGATGTCACCTGTGAGCCATTTTATATCACTTTCCTGCCTTTTTTTGCCTATCTGATGCTGTTTTGCCAGGTGCCCTTAGCTTCTATTAGTCATTTGGTCTAGGCCTATACTTGGGCTGATAATGTGGGCCAGACCCTCTTGGGATGGGGGTGTATATGACACAAGTTATATTTTAGCATCATGGAACCTCAGAGCTATAAAGGACCTCAGAGGTCATCTAGTCTAATTTACACTTTGAATAAGAATTCCCTCCATAGAATCACCAACAAGTGGTCATGTAATCTCTCCTAAAAGCCTCCACAGAAGTAGGAGAGTAGAGAATATTTGATCCTCTGATGACGTGGTCTCCAAAACCCTCCAAAACCTTGGCCCTAGTCTAGCTTTTCAATGCCTTTTGTGGCAAAGGGATGGGGGGGAGAATTGGAATGGAATCAGAGAGCCATGTACGCCATTTACAATCTTGTGTGACCATGGATAAGACATCATCTCCCTGAACCTTAATAATAATAATATATGTCCTATTGATCTCAAAGTGTTGTTATGAGGAAAGTGTTTTGTAAATTATAAAGCACTTTTCAGATGCCTTTTAATAGTATTATTGTCATTCCCAGAACCAAACACCACATCCAAATGTGTTACAATCACAGGACATGATGGTGAGACTACTACATTCTTCATTCTGGAAAATATCTTTTTTTATTACTGAAATACTCATCTCTCTGTGTTTCCCCCAATAATGAAAATTGCAACCAATACAGTAGTCTGTATACTATCTCTTCTATTCCCTGATCCATCTGGCCAACATAAACTTCTCTGTTCTATGCCTTGTCTGATCAGTGTTTATGGCCAGAGCCTCAATGAACAGGATTATTTCTATTATTAGGCCTTCATCTTGGATGATTTTGGTCTATGAAGGAGAGACACTTTGTTGGAAGAGAAACTTAAAACTGTGTTTTGCTCTACCAAATTAAATGCTTTTCAAATCAACTAACAGAAAGCCCATATTCTCTACATCTTTTAGTAATTTGAACAACTATAAAGATATGATCCATTATTGGCTTAAAGTCTTCCTGTTCTCTACTAATGCCCTCATCAAGGGTGCCCCTGAACTATGTGTACATGAAGTCCATAAATATTGTGTATAGATGGGAAAGTAGGCTGAGAAAAGGAAGAGAGCTGTAGGATAATGACAATCAGGGATAGTAGTGGTGAGAGTGAGAGTTTTTGAAAGGTTGGGGAGGCTTGTATTTGTAGGCAGGAGAGAAGGAACCAGTAGAGAAGGCATAATTGTAGATTCTTTCTCTGCCTGGCAAATCAAGCAGACAGAGAGATTTTTAGGCTATTTTTGCCCCATTTTATGGCAATGGAATTACTTTCTGTATGAAATTATTGTAACCTCTCTATTAGTGTAGTCTAATGGGCTGTCATGCAGCAGAAAGCTAATGTTACAAGGTAATGATTGAACCATTACCTCTTAGGTGAGGGAGCCGAGCAAGAGGTGAAACCTTGGTTGGCCATCTTTGCTGAGATCATTATTGCAGAGAGAGTTCTGTCATTTGTCTTTTCTGTGGTTTTCATCCTACGAGACAGAGGTAACTATAAGAGGGAGCTGAGGGCAGGGGTTTACTCTCCAACATGCTTGAGCAGGTCTGAGCAAGAAAGGTGAAAAAGGAGATGAGAAGTCAGAGTCCTGGTTTCTCATCCATCCTTCAACAACTGATTACTGGTCCCAGAACAATTCCAACCACTTTCCTGGAGTCCCCTAAAACACTCCCTCTAGATCTCTGACGTAAGATTACTCCACCCAACACATCCTTCCTCTCAAGGTCACTATTCTACCCCACCCCCTGCTTCCCCTTCTCCACATATATACAGTACCTGATCAGCAGAGGGGCCCTGAGAGGTTTAAGAATTCCTATTCATCCCTAGGTCTTCATCGTAAGGTCACAGAATTACAGAATTTCAGTACAGCAGCAATCTAGTGCAACCCATATGCAAAACAAAGTACCTCTATAACTTACACAAGTGATCCACCATCCAGACCTCGAAGGAGGGGGAACTCACTACTTCTCAAGGCAATCCATTCCATGGTTGGGTAGCTTTCATTATTACGACAAAACTAATTTTTTTTTCAATTTCCATGCATTATTTTGGTTCTGCCTTCTGGGGCAAAACAGAACAAATCTAACCTCTCTTTTACAGAATAACCCTCCAAAAACTTGAAGACCACTCATATGCCCCCCTGAATCTTCTCTTCTCCAGGCTAAACATGCCCATTTCCTTTATCTGATCCTTATATGGCAAGACTCAAGGTCCTTCACCAGCCTGGATGCCCTCCTCTGGACACTCATCAGATTATCAGCATCCTTCTTAGACTGCAGTGCCTAGACTGAGCATTATTACAGAAAAGGGCTGGTGGAGGCAGAGTACAGGAACACAATTCTCTCCATGGTCCTGAACGCAGTCTCTTATGCAGCCCAAAATCTAACTGGTGTCTTCAGCTGCCACATCACACTGCTTACTCATATTAAGTTTGCTGTCCACTAAAAACCCTAGGTCTTTTTTCAGATGAACTGCTATCCAGCCTGAATCCTGTTCTAGCCTAGACTTTCCCCCCATTATTCCCCTTCATGCATTAAACAGTCCAGCCACACGAGAATGTGTTCTAAACTCACCATGCTATTCCTCACTACCACGTCTTTACACAGGCATTGCCCATGTATAGAATGCACTCCTTACTCATTGCTTCATTTGCAAATCCTTAACTTTCTTCAGAGCTCAATCACTTTTATTGAACCAGTGTGGATGAAGTCCCAAGTATATGTTTCTACTGTGTCCTGGGATAGAGTGATAGAAGATCTCTGTCCCTTTCTTCAACCTCAATCTGCACAGGAAAGGAGGGAGAACATTGCAGACATGGGGGACAGCCTGTGTAAAACCATACAGATGGGAGGTATAAGAAACACGGGATAGGCCAGTATGGCTAGGTGATAGAGTAAGTAAATGAAGGTCAAGAAGGTCAAGAGGATGAAAATGTAGGATAGGCCAAGGTTGAGAAGAGCTTTAACTGTCAAATAAAGTAATTTACTGAGTAGTGGGGGGACATAGACCTTTACTTTAAGAAAATCACCTTGGCAACTCTGTAGAGGTTGGATTAGAGTGTGGTATGATTTGAGAGGAGAACAATTAGGCAATTGTGGAATTATATCCAAAATATGTAAGAAAAAATACAAGGTAATTCAAGGGAGGGGCACTGCAAACTTGGAGTGGGGAAGAACATAAAGAGGAAAAGTTTTTCCTTAACTGATGGGGAGGAGAGGTATGGAGGAGAATAATGGAGGCCAGAGTGGTTACTCTCTCACCCCTTGGGGCTTCTTTCAGAAAACATTGTCCAAATCCTTCCCTGGCCATGGGAGGCAAATGGGATCCTGGCTGTGAGGTCAGCATTTGAAATTGGCCTCACTATTTGTCATCTGTGGATGTTGCACACATGTGGAGGTAAAGGGCTGGGGGGAGATGGGAAGGTGTTTTGGGGAGGAGAACAAGATGAAATTAGAGCCCAAGGCTCCCCAGTTCCTATGCAACCCTGATCCTTTATCTTTCCCCTAATCACTCCACTCCCATGTTGCCCTGACTTAGAATGCCCTGTACAGACCTGCCTTAGGTGTGTGCTTATCAAGCAGGCTGAGGCCTACCAGATCTATCATGGAAGCTGAAATCAATGACCCAGACCTGCCCAGGACAGGGCTCCAGCTGATGCATCTTGGGGTTTGACCCCCAGGACTTGTTTACAGAGAGAAGTTTGACTGGATGGACCAGCTCCTTTGGATAATCTTCCTGGTCTATGTTAATCTCTCCGTCATTAAACTTGGGATTGGACTATATGTCATCTGCCCTTTTCAGAATGTATGACCACTCCTTCCTGTTCCTGGGCCACTGAAAAGGTAATGTGACCCTGAGAGAGTATGCTGCTCTCTCCCTCTCTTTCACCCATCTCTCCTCTTTCCTTTCCTCTCTCTCACTTGTTCTCCCTCTAATTTCCCTGACTTCTTTCCCTTTGTCTCTCCTCTAGAATTCTCTCCTCTTTCTGCTTCTGTCATGTTTGTTTTTTTCTCTCTGTATCTTTCTGCATATCTGTCTCTTTCTCTGTGTGTGTGTCTGTCTCTGTCTCTCTGTCTTTCTGCCTTTTTCTCTCTTTGTCTTTGTCTCTGTCTCTCTGTCTGCTTATCTCTCTCTATTTCTTTCTCTCTGTCCTCCTCTTCTCTCTCTCTCTCTCCTCTCTCTCTCTCTCTCTCTCTCTCTCTCTCTCCTCTCTCTCTCTCTCCCTTCTCTCTCTCTCCTCTTCTCTCTCTATGTCTCTGTCTCTTCTCATTCTTTGTCTCTGTCTGTCTTTCTCTCTCTATCTCTCCCCTCTCACTTTTCCCCCTTTCCCACTCTTCCCCCAAGCCATAAGCATCCTTTCCTAATTGGTCTCCAGGGAAAGCCAAAACAGATCTGATATCCTGCCCCTAAAAATGTTTCCTTCTGTAGGGGAGAAATGTGTCTTAGACAGAAAACCTGTGTCTCTGAAACTTGGCTCCGATATTTACTGATTATGTGACCTCAAGCAAGTTTCTCATCCATCAAATAATCAACAAGTATTTATTAATCTCGTATTACTGCCCAGCACTGTGCTTAGTCAAAATATAGGCCAAAATAATAGTAGTGAACAGACAGTGCAGATGATCACCAGAGGGAAGGCACAAACCGTAAGGAGGATTCAGAAAGGTTTCTTTTGTTATGAGTCCTGACACCAGGAAATCTGGTGCAATAGAAAGAAAATTAGCTAAAACAAAACTTATCAATTACAAAGGAGTAGGAGAAGGCCCTGCAGACCCGGTTTCCTGGCTAGTGCTTTAGTATCTCACACCCGTTCTGGATTCCCTAGCCTCTGATGTACTTAGAACCCTTAGAACCCACATTCCTAATCAATCAATGGTTGTATTCCCTCCCTGTGTTCTGGGCAACCTTGGTGATTAAGAGCTGTATGAAATGTGACTCACTCTCAGGTAACTTGCGGTTGTCTTGGTGAGACAAGATAAACAAATAACATTGTGCCCTTCCACTGCTCTGAGAACAATCTGTGACCCCCGCTGCCTCCAGTATAGAATCCAAATTCCATAGACTAGTATTCAAGGCCCTCCAAAATCCAGTCCCAATATGCTTTATTTCCAATTGTCCCCATTCACATACTCCATGCTTCAGCTAAACTGGTGTGCTCACTGTGCTCTGAATGTGTACCATTGAGTTCAGTCTCCAAGCCTTTGCTCTCCCTGTTCTCCCTGACTTGAAAATACCCCCACTTTTCCTCCTCACTTCTCCAGATCTTATCTATCCGTCAAGGTTCAGCCCCCAAACCAACATCCTCAAAATCACACAGATCTTCAGAGAGCCTTCTGTCCTCTGATCTCCTTTGCCCTTAATTGTATAGACCTCTCACTAGACCCTTATCACCTGTGTTCTTCTTCTTTCTATACATTTCTGTTGTGTTCCCCCAGATAGACTGCGTTCCCTGAGGGCAATGACAACCTCTAACTCATTGCTTTCTCACCCTCCTAGTCCAGGATAGGTCTCACAAGTCTTTCAGCCTCAGTATGTGCACAGAAATGATTAAAGAGAGGTAAGGGTACTTGTGTAACAGTCCCTTTGGGGTACAACATCCAACTTGCATGCACCCTCTGAGATTGAGTCTCCTGAAGCTGGGCCTCAGATTCTAGGGGTGAGCCTTCCTTAATGTGCTTACCACTGATAATCAGTCAGTTCATTTAATTAGTTTTAAGCAAAGGTATTTACTAACATGTAATGGTTGGTATAAAATATTCCATTCCAAAAAACATGGGGCAAAATCTCCAACAAATACATGAAGTTTCCATGGCAAAGGTGAGTTCAAAATTACAGTGCATTGCTATAGAGGCACGCATGTAGAATACACATGTGGCATAGGGTAACTTACACTTCCAGGTATGAAAATCCTTTCTTTTTTCTCCTTACCTTCTTTCTTTCTTTTTTCTTTTCTTCTTTCTCTCATGACTTCTTTCTTTTCTCCTTTCTTTCTTTCTTCCTTCCTTCCTTTCTCTTTTTTTTTCTTTGTAAAGTACTCTCATAGCCAAGATGCAGCTCTCTGCTGGGAAGGCTGTACAGATGAATTCCCCTAATTTATTTTTTGAACCCATCTTCACTGCTACATTATGCTTCAAGCTGCTTCTTCCCTCAGGTACCCTTTCTGTATCCACATCTGTCCTCAGGACAGGGGGATATCTTTGCTCCCAGATGCATTTATTGTCTCCTACTGGTCCAGTAGATCCAATGACTTGGTTGTTGGTTGGAGGGGATGGAGGAGAAAAATCCCCTTCTCCCACATCCTCACAGGCTCCTCCCCAACAAAGCCTGGACCTGAATGGCTTGCTGTTTTCCTACAGAGGCTCAAGGAGTGTGACTGATTCTCTCAGCCAGTCACAAGAGACTTCCTGTGTGATATCACTTTCTTTCATCCAATGGCCAATCCCCATAGTCCTGTGAAATTGCTGAAGGACTTATTCAAACATTGTAGGGTTATAGTAAAATTTAACTTTGATTGCATTTTGGGCTCATTGATGGATTGGGCTCATAGCTGATGGATTCTGTGCCTATATCAGCTGAGGAAGGGAAGGAAAGCTCCTTGCCTTGCCTAGTAACCAATAAGGATAGCAATAGGAAGGGAAACCCTAGTAACTAAACAAAACATCTCTCCATGCTTTTGCTGAAGACAGCATGCTGGAGCTGGGGGACTGGGAGGCTGATTCCAATGTATGTCTGGTCTTATGTTTTCCCCTAGGTGGATGAGGCATATGCTGCAGAATCATAAATGTGCTGACTTTACCACTGAAGTGTGACTCTGATGGGCACTCAAAGCACTTTTTCCTGATTAGCCCTCTGCTTTGGGTCACAAGAGGAATCCTTGAGTTACAGAAGAGATTCTTTATCATCCTTACTCATCTCCTGTGGAGAGTGAACCTGAGGAAGTTTGCCCTCCAGTGTGTGTCCATGCCTCAAGTCTCTTCCCACTCAAATCTGTCTTCATGCAGCTTTGAAAATGTTCTTCCTAAAATTCAGTGGCCAATGACATTGGCCTTCTGGCTGTTTGTCACAAAAAATACTCTCTCTCCCAACTCTCTTGGTCTCCCATACCTGGAGTGATCCACCTCCTCACCTCCATGTCCCAGCTTCCCTGACTTTCTTCCAGCCACAGCCCAAAATTCACTTTCTGTCATTCCTGGTCCTTCCACCCATCACCCAACTCCTAATGTTTTCCCTCTGAGATTACCCTGTACATATCTTGTATGTTGTCTCCCCCATTAAAATGTGAGCTCCTTGAGGACAGGGTCCATATTTTTTTTCTTTTCTTTGTATCCCTAGTGTGTAGCATAGTGCCTGGCACAAGTGGGTGCTTAACAAATACTTGTGGATTAGACTTGGCTTCTTCCTACATTTCTTGTCTTCTTAATATTGTATTCCTCTACCCCTTGCACTCTATAATCTGGCTGTAGTAGCCTGGTCTTCCAAACTCCAATCTCAGTGCTCTCTCAGAAGCAGCTGCTGCTGCAGTACATAAAGTGGTGGGCCTGGAGTCACAAGATTTGAGTTCAAATCTGGCCTCAGACACTTACTAGCTATGTGGCCTTGGGTGAGTTACTTAACCCTGTTTGCCTCAGCTCCCTCATTTGTAAAATGAGCTGGAGAAGGAAATGGCAAACCACTCCAGTATCTTTGCCAAGAAAACCCCAAATGGGGTCGTAAAGAGTCAGACAGGACTGAAAGGATTGAACAACAGCAACAAAAATGGGGACGATGATGGCTACCACCTCAAAGGGTTGTTGTGAGACTCAAATGAGATGATTTGTAAAAAGTGCTTAGCACAGGGCCTAGCACATAGTAGGCACTATATATACATACATATGCATATACATATATACGCTTACTACCTTCCCACTGCCCTTCCCACTGTGCTACCTAGTTCATTAACATAGGCTATTGCAGCAACATTAGCCTTGCCCTTTGTCCCCATCACCTTTCAGAGAAAAGTCAGCCCTTACTCAGGCTCATCACTTACCTGAACATTGAACATTTGAAACAACACACCAAACATTTATTAAGTGCCTACCATATAATCCTCCTATATCTAGTCCAATCCATTACCAAACAAAAACTCATTCTACAACATCACTGAAAAGTGCCCACCAAACCTCCACATGCAGACTCCTGGTAAAGAAGAACTTTACTTTTTGCTTCCTGAGGTAGCCCAATCCACTTTCAGAGAGTTTTCAAGGTGAGGAAGACTTCTGGTGGAGGCCAGCTCCAAGTCTGGAAGGTCTGAGGCCAGCCACTTTCGATGGGAGAGAGAAAATTTAGAACAAAGGATTTGAGGAGGGAGTAATAGATACCTAGTGACTCTGTCCAGGCTTTTGTTCAGGCCTTCTCCTCCTTATTCATTCACTTGGCAGACCCTGAGGATTGGGGGCCTAAGGAAAGCCATGGTGCCTCAGAGAAGCCCCTTTGCAGGTATGTTAGAATGTGTCCCCCCAAAATGGCTTGAGGAAAAACACTGCTAAGATGTAAGTGTCCAGAAGAAAGCAACTAAAATGGTGTGCAGCCTTGAATGTATGATGTAGAAGGATAGGTTGTAGGAATCAAACATGTTTAGCCTAGAGCAAAGAAGACTCAAGGGAGACAGGATTAAGGGTTGTCTTTGGAGGAGAGATTAGACCAGTTCTGTTTGACTCAGGGAGGGGAGAGAACCAGGAGTAATGAGACCAGTTTAGTCTTCATATAAGGAAAAACTTCCTAACAATGAAAAGCTGTCCAAAAGTGAGATGGGCTAATTCAAAAGGCAACAGGGCTCCCTTCCTTGGAGCTGTTCAAGCAGAGACTGGACAACCACTTGTCAGGTATGTTATAGTGGGAATTCTTTCATGTGTGAGTTAGACTAGATTAGGGAGTCTTAATCTTTTGTGCCATAGACCCCTTTGGCATTTGGATGAAGCCTATGGAGTCCCTTTCAGAATAATGTTATTGAATGCATAAAATAAAATACATAGAAATGCAAAGGCAACTAAATTATATTGAGACACATTTATCAAAAATGTTTTAAACAAATTCACTGACTCCAGTTTAAGAACCCTTGGAATAGAAAGATGCTCAAGTCCCTTTCAACTTCCAAATTCTATGATTCTGTGAATACAGGTTAACAATCAAGTATTGACTAGGATTAAAGGGATTTTCTAACCCTAAATCAGATAAAGGTTTGAATTAGATATTTGGATCCTGCTAGCAGGAGAAAGCGAGTTTAAATGACATACTAAATGCCTAAGGGCTTTAATTAGATGGCTCCCTATTCTAGGTTCCAAAAGAGGTTAGGTCCTGGTTGCACCCTGAAATGTTGGGGTACAAGGTCAGCTCAAAAAACTTCACTCCAAATTCAATGAAGGTGTTTATTTGCAGATAACACAACACAGCAGTCTCCTTTTCCCCTTAAGGGAGATGCAGCCTAAGAGAGACCCCAGTTTAAGGCGGGGCAGCCTCCAAGGGAAAGGGCTGCTTCAGATAACTGGCTCCTTAAGGGAGATGCCTGCTTAAGGGGGACACCTGATAAAGGGTGATGCCCAAGTAAGGAGAACCTCCACATTTGAGGGAGATGCCCTCCACTTAAGGAAGATATCTATTAGCCAGGAAAGGCTAGCGAATCTTTTTTTTTTTGGCAAGGTAATGGGGCAAAATGACTTGCCCAAGGTCATGCAGCTATTAAGTATCAAGTGTCTGAGGCTGGAATTGAACTCAGGTCTTCCTGAATCCAGGGCCAGTGCTCTATCCACTGAGCCATCTAGTTTCCCCAAGGCTAGGGGTTTCTTATGGAGGAAAACCTGCCATGGGTGGGGAGAAATAAGGAGTATTTCAGAGTTTCAGGCACTATCTACTATTATTATTTTTCCATTGTTCAGCCCAGGGCAGAAGGGCTGGGGAGCCCCTGTTAGTTTCCTATTTCACTGACCAGCCTTCTTGAATTTCAGCTTCTCCTAAAGTGGCTTTAAGTGGTACTAGAGATAATGGGCTTCTCATTGACCACTCTATTTGAATCTCCTCAGTGGGACCAAGAATCTCAGAGATGACAGAAGAAATACTCCTTGTTCTGAGTGCAATAACTTGGTGCAGACATGCCTTAGGCTCTTAAAGGCACCAAGACTACATTTCCCGGGGCTAAATTTGCTAAGATAATTAAAACTCTGGTTCTGGAGTAAAATCTAAAAGAGAGCCAGAAAGCTGAGCCAATTCCTTCTCTATTTTGAGGAAGATGCAGCATCTCAGATGAAGAATACAACTAAGGAGGTAGCAGTAGTGAGAATCTAGTGGAGAGGATGGGAAATGGAGAATAGAGATACGGTGCAGACCTAGCAAAGCAACACAATACCACAACCCAAAAATACTCCTCCCTCTCCCCATAACTATAATGCTTCCCTATGTATATGACCACACATCTATGCTCCCTGATGTGTGATACCTGAGAGCATCTACTCTTCCCACTGACTTTATGTGTATCTGTTGAAGAGTACGCCCAAGGTTTACTGAAGTGATGTTCTATTGCAACTTTTGTTGCTATGTTATTTCTTTAAAATATGTTGCTTTGAACTAATTGTGTATGGCTGGCAAATAAAAGTAAAACCATCAATAAAAACTTGTGAGCTATAATTGTAAGTGTGTGGACCCATGGAGCACATTAAATCTAGAATAGCTTTTCTTGGGGACTCAAATGAAAGAAGTGGCACCCCAGATACCACACTTATATTTAACCAAAATGTTTCTTTTTATGACTTCTGTTGTAGTCTAGGAGTGCTGGGAACCCCAAAATGCCAGGGTGTGCCTCAAAAGAATTCAACTACTCAAACCTTCTTTCAGTCCAAGTCAAAGTTTATTAAGATGCAGTTGGGGTGGGCAGAGATTCCTCGTGAGTCTACACTATTTGTGACACCAATACAAGTGGACCAGATTTTAAGAATCTGAGCATTTGATGAGGGTAAGATTGATATTTTGTACAGAAAGACTGTGGGAAGATCTGGATGGGATTGAGGAGTGGCAAGTAGCCTGAGGTAGGCCAGGTGCAGACAAATGAGGGAGAGTGCCACAATGAAAGGACAGTTAAAATACTGGCTGGGATGCACCAGGTGACTCAGGAGCATGCCAGAGATCTGGGTTCATAGGCTTTGGGGTCCAGATCCCAAAGACATGGTCTTTTCCTTTTAGGGGTCCAAATCTCATCCCTATCATTCCCCACTCAAACAAATGGGACCCAATATGTTTTGGGGTAAGGGGTGAAGGTCTCACCTTCTGAAACTGCTTCCTGCTGGTAAGGGGCATAAAGCTGCCCCTGCCTCATGAGAGTCCCAGAGAGGAGGTTGACTGGAACAGAGCATAAGCTGCATCCAAGGGACAATAGGTGGACATAGGCTGGTACCCACTGTTTGCTACCAACTGTAGGTGAATGGCCTGTAGTCTGGAAGACAGAAATCTGACAAGCTAGTTCAATATGTAGGGCCCAAATATAGGGAGAAGTAAAAGGGATATCAGAATGGGGAAAAACAAAAAAAAATTGAATTATCTGATCTTGTTACTGTCTCAAAAGTTTCCATTCTGATTCCAGTTCCTTTAGGAGGATCAGATGCTACTGGGAAGTAACAACACTTTTGCAGGTAGAAGTTTTTCACCCCTGGGTCCAATAGTTACACAAATGAATTTCCCAGAAACTTTTACTCCAGTTATAACAAAAGACTTGGGAGGATCCTTAGGTAAAGACTAGGCCAAATAGATTACCTCCCTCTAAGAAAATTTATTGCACTGAAATTCTCTTCCCCAAACCAAACTGAAGATGTTTCTGATTTAATTTCAGTTATTTTGGGATATGGAATGACCACACATTCAGGTCAAAACAGCAAGATCTCACACACTTTCATTGTGCTTATATCTTTTACTGACTATTTCTCTGATTATAGAAATTTGCTATAAAAGGATAAAGTGGGGATAAGATTTATACCAAGTTATGACAGTATAAAACATCCTTAGAATTCAGATAATTTACAGTTGTCCAACCATGCAGTATCAAGTCCACCTCATAGTAAAACTCAGGAAAAGCCAGGTGGGTAACATTCCTTTTCAAAGGAACACAATGGAGAAACTGAGCCAAGAGGATCTCATCTTAGACTAAGGCTAAAATTGTCCTCTCAGCTTTTGCAGATGAAGATTTATACCGAATCAAATTCTCTAAGTAGCTGGTGGATTATTGACTATTGATTGTGGATAGCTTATTATGATCCATCAGACAACTCAAAT